ACTGAACAAAATTATAAACGCAACACTTTTGTTTTTGCCCCCATTTTTCATGAGCTGAACTCAAAGATCTAAGACTTTTTCTATGTACACAAAAGGCCTATTTCTCTCAAATATTGTTCACAAATCTGTCTAAATCTGTGTTAGTGAGCACTTCTCCTTTGCCGAGATAATCCATCCACCTCACAGGTGTGGCATATCAAGATGCTGATTAGACAGCATGATTATTGCACAGGTGTGCCTTAGGCTGGCCACAATAAAAGGTCACTCTAAAATGTGCAGTTTTATCACACAGCACAATACCACAGATGTCGCAAGTTTTGCGGGAGCGTGCTATTGGCACGCTGACTGCAGGAATGCCCACCAGAGCTGTTGCCCGTGAATTGAATGTTCACTTCTCTACCATAACCCTACTAGGGCTGGGCGCTATGCCAAAAATATCTTATTGCGCGATATCCGATAATATCGCCTACCTAAGCCCCACCTCCACCACGCCCCGCCCCCGCCGAGACAACATTGCCGACATGCACCATAAACACACATTATGTTCAGTTTGGTCTTAATTATTGCTACAAAGTTTGGTTTTATTTTTCTTAGTTTTTGCTTAAACTAACAGAAAACATTAGCTTTCATTTTGGTGTTGCTAATAATTTCCACTCTGTTCTTATCAAATTTGTGTTTGAAATGAATTTCGTTTTGTGAGGAGAACTGTTGAGGAAAAATAATAGAACCACATTTTAAGTTCATCATGGTGAAGTTGGACATTCTGGCGGTGATTGTAATGATAAATGCATGTTGATGTCATATAATAATGTCTTGAATAAAATATGCCTATTTTCCAATGTTTCTTTCTTTTTGGCATTATGTTGTCGCCTGTGACAACCATTATTGCAACCATGGGCGACATTTGACTCTTGAGTCAGGGAAAGAAAGAAAGAAAGAAAAAACTTTTCCGGATGCATCAAAACAATGCCCTACCGTATTGCAATGCATCAAAGCAGTCAATCCAACACAGTCAAGAATAACTTAAAGACATTGGCACTGTTTAGTAAACTGTGGACTAGCTTTGGCTCTTCCTGTTGACTTGAATGGTGATGCTTCTCGTTTGTCAGTTAATGGCCTTTCATTTTTAACCATAAATGTGCACGCTTCTTTTCTGTTCACTGAAGTTTTCCGTGTCTTTTCCCCGTGTCACTTGAAATGTTTCCATTTTGAATTGTTGTTACCAAAGTCGAGACACGTGAGGAAACATTAATGATCAGTTGTGGGACTATATTCTGTCATAAATAGCATACCATTCATTGCTGAACATTCTACCGTCCGTTACAGAAATGAAATGAAATTACTGGTTGATATGTCCCGATCTCAATAAAGTTTACACGCTTTTGGTCCATGAATTAGATCTCGCTTGGGACGCGGGCTGTCTGTGGAGGTTTGGCCAGGACCGGTTCCAGAATTAAATCAACATATTTTATGTTCCGTCCATTGCCAATCACTGCTATTTCGAGAGTGAATCCCACATAAATATGCGGATGTCATTCCAGACACTTTGCCGGGTGTAGCCGAAAAACTAAAGTTTCATACAAATTCTGAAAGGATTATACCCTAGCAAGTGCGCAAAGCTCGCTCCCTTTATCATTAAAAAGTGTCACTCATCTTCGTTCATCGCGATCTTACAAAGTTACGTTATAGTCAATGAAGCTCTTATTTACATCGCATCTGCACTTAGTCATGAGATTTTCCACGAGCATGCAAGACTGCACTTAAAAACTGCGGCGCATTCAGCAGTGAGTGAATTCTGACAAAACGTTTCTGATTGGCCATTGCGTTTAAGAAATCAACAGATATGTCTGTGATTGGTTACATTGCTCAACGCTGCAAAAACATGTTGAGGGTATTTAGCGCTTGGTTAAGCAATCCAATTGCAGCTGGGTCAAAATCAGGGATTCCATGACTAACACTTTGTCGCCCATGACTGCAACCCTCCACTGATTTGGGCTTTATGGCACAGTGGCTAGACGTAAGCCTCTCCCGCTTGGCGTTTGCAAAAAAGGGAAGCTGAGGGAAAGCTGAATGGAGCAAAGTACAGAGATATCCTCAATGAAAACATGTTCCACAGCACTCAGGACCTTAGACTGGGCCAAAGGTTCACCATCCAACAATGACCCTAAGCACACAGCCAAGACAACACAACTCTGGGAATGCCCTAGAGTGGCCCAGCCAGAGCCCTGACTTGAACCCTATCGAACATCTTTGGAGAGACCTGAAGCTAGCTGTCCACCAACGGCCCCCATCCAACCTGACCGAGCTTGAGAGGATTTGAAAAGAAGAATGTCAGAAAATCCCCCAATCCAGGTGTGCAAAGCTTGTTGTGTCATACCCAAAAAGACTTGAGGCTTTAATTGCTGCCCAAGGTGCTTCAACTAAGTACCGAGTAAAGAATTGTTTTTAGTTATGGACTGCTGAACTTCTTGTCTGCACAACAAATTTACCTTTGGGTACTAATAAAGATACCTTGACCTAAATCCGGCCCTAAATATGATCAGATTCCATTTGAGATATGTACAAAAATTGGACTTGAACTGACAGTCTGAATGAGGCTATAGTATCTTACCTGACCACTGTTCTGCATCCTGCTGTCTGTTTGAACAATAAAAAACTCAATTAAACACAGATCACTTTGGTTAATTAGAATAAAAATACCCATTTTCGCATCTTTCAAATATTCTTTACACACAATCTCCATCTTGTTAAATCAGCTGTATATAATACTCACCTTCTCTTCTCGCTCGACGCTTGCGATAGTAAATCACAACAACAGCAGCAGATGCAGCCAAAAGCAGAAAGACAGCAACAGCTATTCCTGCTGCAACAGCTGAAGACTGACCTGAATCTGGAACAACTAAAGAGAAAGAGTCATTATGAATAGAGAGTGACTGATAACCAATTATACCGATATCTTTGTCTGATATTTAGACCTTTATACTTTAGTCATCTTTTGTATGACATTGATTTAACTAATAATAGCAGCATCTTTAAAATAAATAAATAAATAAATAAATAAATGACAACAGCAGTTAAAACAGCATCACAGCACTTTGCACTGAAAAAAAAAACATGTTTATAGAAAAACTAATTTTATGCATTTTTCATGTTAATAACATTAGACTTTTTTAAGACTAGTCTAAGCAATTTATGCAACTGGCCTCTGGATTATAGTTTAATATTGAGTGAAAAGGTCAGGCATATACTTACTGGCTAATATTATATATAGAGCAAGTACAGGGGGCTGTTTCATAAAACAAGTTTACCAAGTAAGCCAGGCTTATTTCAATTAGTCGGACTTATTTTCACTTGATTTGGATTCTTAAAGCAAAATTACCATAGCTCAGGCTCAGTCACTGTGGCAACTTATGCTGGGAAACTAACCTGGTCCGGAGCAGGCTAACTGTCAGGCTAAGCTGAACTCCTGACCAATAGGAATGCATTAGTTATTAAAATTCTACATATGTCCCATTTAATGTCCAACAACAAATATTTTAATAGAATGCATATTTTATTCAGAATTATTGCGCTATTATTCTATTACGTTCCATCTGTTTAGCGTGCATGCGCGCAGCAGCGCTCGTTCACTCGCGTAAGCCTCGCCTCGCCCACAAAATGGATATATTTGCATGACTTTCTAACATTTACAGATGAAAAATATACCTGTGATGTGTCAGTTATGCACCGAGGAAAACACAATGTCTCAAATTATTTAAACAGCACAAATATATTCACTGTTTGCCATGGTGGATCGATTTGATCCATGATCGACATTAAGGGCTACTTAAGAATAAGCTGCACATCAAATTATCCTGACTCATTGAACCTGGATCGAATTAGTGAGATTGCGTGAACTTAAATAGCCGTTTATAAAATAGCTTTAGTCCCGATTGATTTGTTAGCTTATTTTTAAGTCAGGTTTGGACTTTAATCCCCGCTTTTCTTAGCGTCTTTTATGAAACAGCCCCCAGGTCTCTGCAGGAAAGTAATGGGAGTTACCAGATCAGTGGGCAAGGGCAAAACAGAGGGGCGTTTGACCATCTTACCTGATTGGCTCATGTCACAGTGACAGTTATGTTTAGGGGTGGGGAAAACAAAAGATCTTCTTTGACCATATTAGCCTACTCAATAGCATTAACACAGGCTTTACTCCCTTCGAACTTTATCTGCAATGTCACCGTTTCACTACACCTTCCTGAACAGGCGAACACACACACAAATAAAATCGTTTGCCTGATGAAAACATTTTAAACATGTTCATATTTTTGAAAATGTAGTCAATAGTTGCATAATTATCTCATCATTTTTTTATTGCCCGACCTGTGGATTATCCGTGAAAACATTTTTGCCCCCTTCCCGTTTTTTTTTTTGCATATTTGTCACACTTAAAACATTCAGATCATCAAACTAATTTTAATACATTACACAAAGATATCCCAAGTAAATACAAAATGCAGTTTTGAAATAATGATTTCATTTATTAAGAGAAAAAAGATGTCCAAACCTGCCTGGTCCTACGTGAAAAAGTAATTGCCCCCTAAATCTAATTGATTGTGCCACCCTTGGCAGTAACAACTGCAATCAAGCATTTGCGATAACTGGCAATGAGTCTTTAACATCACTGTGGAGGAATTTTGTCCCACTCTTCTTTGCAGAGTTGTTTTAATTCAACCACATTGGAGGGTTTTCGAGCATGAAAGGACTGTTTAAGGTCATGCCACAGCATCTCAATCAGATTTAAGTCCAGACTTTGACTTGGCCACTCCAAAACCTTAATTTAGTTTTTCTTGAGCCATTCAGAGGTGGACTTGCTGGTGTGTTTTGGATCATTGTCCTGCTGCATAACCCAAGTGTGCTTGAGCTTGAGGTCACAAACTGATGGCCGGACATTCTTCTTCAGGATTTTCTGATAGAGTGCTGAATTCATGGTTCCATCAATTATGGCAAGTCGTCCAGGTCCTGAAACTGCAAAGCAGCCCCAGACCATCACACTACCACCACCATGCTCGACTGTTGCTATGATGTTCTTTTTATGAAATGCTGTGTTGGTTTTACGCCAGATGTAACGGGACACACACCTTCCAAAAAGTTTAACTTTTGTCGCATCAGTCCACAGAATATTTGCCCAAGAGTCTTGGGGATAATCAAGATATTTTTTGGCAAATGAGAATATGGCTAGTGAAATTTAACTCAGCTTTCAAAAACAATGTGGTTAATCAGTTCTTTTATGTTTTAATAGGAAGGGGCAATTGATTTTTTACGTAGGGCCAGGTCGGTTTGGACAGCTTTTTCCCCTTAATAAATGAAATCATCATTTAAAAACTGCTTTTTGTTTTTACTTGCATTATCTTTGTGTAATATTAAAATTAGTTTGATGATCGGAATCTTTTAAGTGTGACAAATACGCAAAAAAAATTTAAAAACAGGAAGGGACAAACACCTTTTCATGGCACTGTGTGTGTGTGTGTGTATATATACAGTGGGTACGGAAAGTATTCAGACCCCCTTAAATTTTTCACTCTTTGTTATATTGCAGCCATTTGCTAAAATCATTTAAGTTCATTTTTTTTGATAGATACACACACACAGAAATGACTAAAATTCACTGGGAAGTCGGGACTCTGAGTAGGGGTAACTTTTAGATGACCTTTCAAATTTATTTATTTATAAAAACCAATTCAAATTTAATTAAGAAAGACAAATTCAACCCCCACAGCAAATCAGGTTTATTGGCAAAATCGAATGACTTTCAGCTGTTTGCAAACAAAAGTAATTAGTAATTGTGGGCAGTGGTGGCCTAATGGATAGAGTCGTACTTGTAACCCAAAGGTTGCGGGTTCAAGTCTCGGTATCGCTATCAATGACTGCAACCATATTTCTAAAAAGGCAGTTCAGAAAAACCCTTGAATGACTGCAGGAGACCTGCAGCAAGACTTGGTTGCAACAGGCACTGAGGTTTTAGTTTAAGGCACTTACTAAATGCAGACAGTTTCCATGCCAGAACTGCAAGATGTAAACCACTACTGACCCAAAAGCACAAGAAAAGTCGCCTTCAAATTTGCTCAAAATCATATAAATAAGCCACAGAAGTTTTGAAAGCTGGAACTTTTCAGCCCTAGGAGTCAGCGGTATGTCTGGATGAAGAAGAATGAAGCATACGCTGAAAATAACTTTCTGCCTATGGTTAATTGCAGAAGAAGTCCTGGAAGATTCAGCATGTAAACCCAAGAATATTACTGAACTGGAGGCCATTGCTCGTGAGGAATGGGCGAAGATTCCCCAGCAACGCTCCCAGAAGCTGGTGTCTGGCTATGTATCTCTTTTGCACCAGGTCATAACAGCAATAGGGAACTCTACTAAGTACAAACGATGCTTGCCAATAATAATTTTGAGACCACAGCAATTTAAAGTCATTAAAAGTTGCATGATTTTGGGGAAAACACTTGAAACATTCACTGTGATGAGCTATTTCAATTACTTTTGTTTGATTTGTTCATAACAAACAGCTTAAAAGCTTATCTATCTATCTATCTATCTATCTATCTGTGTGTGTGTGTGTGTGTGTGTGTGTGCGTTTTCAAATTGCACAAGGGAACTAAATTATACTCACTAACAGCAATGTTAACACCAAAGCTCTTCACACTGAAAGCACTGTTGCTGCGACGAAGGCTTCTGCTGATCTGTAGTGTATAAACTCCAGCGTCTGTGGTTCTGGTGTTTGTGATGGTCAGAGATCCAGTCTGATGATCCAGCTGCAGTCTGTCTCTGAATCTCTCTTTGCACTGATCATCTGTACAGATCTTACTCAGATATCCAGTGATTTCAGCAATGAGAATGTCTTTATAATACCATCTCATCACCTCATTTGGTTGTCTTCCTAGACCAGGATCTAAAGTGACAGATTCTCCCTCGTTCACTGACTTTTCATCTTGTTCAGAAGCAGAAACGCCTGAAACACAAACCAACAGCTGCTGAAGGATTTTTTTGGGGGAAAAAACCCAAAACAACGTGAAAGCACTGTGTATATGAAAACAATGTCTCATGCTGTTTTGCACACATTTTACAAACTTTTTTAAAATTAAATACTTAAACAGTAAATGTGTTTTCAAATATATTGAGTATATACGGCATTAAAATACATTAAGAGAAAATAACTACTCTGAATGTTACTGCAAAAAAAAAAAAAAAACACTATTTAATCTGCTTTTAAACATTTATTCAGTGACTCACCGTAAACAGTAACATTGAAGGTCTTTTCACTGATGCTGAAGCTGCTGATGATCTTTAGTTCATAGAGTCCAGAGTCTGTGGTTCTGATGTCTCTGATGGTCAGAGATCCAGTCTGATGATCCAGCTTCAGTCTGTCTCTGAATCTCTCAGTACCTTCATTACACTGAACATCTGTACAGATATCACTGAGATCTCCACTGATTTCAGCCATTCGAATGTCATTAAAATACCATTTAATATCTTCTTGCTGGTTTGTTTCAACATCAGTGTATAGAGTGACTGGATCTCCCTCCATCACCGATACTTCGACAATATCAACACCAAAAAAACCTGAAAAAGAAATGAAAAGTTCATTATGGACCAAACAAAAATAAACAACAGGTAAGAGCTGTGAAAATGTTTTTCTCCAGATCATACAGATTATAGGTAGAGAAACCTGTCTGAATTCAAAATATTCATGCAAATGCAGTAGCCTACACAAGTCTCATGAATAATCTTCAGCAAATTAATGAATATTATACAAACCAAATTCTGATTCATGTATTAGCTGTTTTCACTATAAGTGCAGTCATGAAATAAAGAGTGTTTTTATAAACAATTTATAAAATATTGCTCATTATGAATAATAATAATATTGATGAAAATGATCCATAAACAACAAGAAAATTGTGCTTTTAATTACAAAATATTATTTTTAAGTATCCTTACGAAAATTAACCATGGTTTTACCACGAGAAGAAGAAAAAACACCTGGTTACCGTATTCACAAATGAACCAAAAATCATTAACTATGGTATTTGTGTGGTTATACAAATTGTAATCAATACTCCAAAAAAACATGCTTTTAATAAAATAAAACCATGATTCATTTTCGTAAGACTACTTTGAATAGGCTACACGTGAGATGTATATTTGAAGAGTTCCAATGCAAAAGCCTCTAAAAGCTATCTTGTTCAAAAATGAGATAACAATACTGAGTGAATGCTCTCCACACACAAACATATTATATGTTCATTAAGTACTTTCACTTCAGATGCGCTAAATCCCAGCCTCAACCCATTCAGAAGTACCAGTACTTACATAGATACCTATACATATAGTGTAGCCAGAAAGATATGCTAATTTTAAAGAAAAACGTCAGCTGTACTTAGAGGCTTTTGCATCTGAACTCTTCATGTATAGTTTGTTAGAAGGTTTCAACCAAAGCTCGCATTACCAGCAAGGTAGGCAACATTTGATCCGTTTTTAAACTAACGTAACGTTAAAATATATCAACATTTACATGTAATGTCATGTTATTTTTAGATAAAATTGGACACATTTTACTTGGACAGTCTATCATATTCATTGTCTAACCTAATCTTCTCACAATAGTTGAGCAAAATATGAACCTGTAGCAAAGCGACTAGAGCTGAAAAACAAACAGAACACTTTCGTTTTTATCGTTAGCAGGCAGATAACAAACAAGTGTCTAACCATGGTGGAATAAAACCAAAAAGAAAAATAACAAAATCGACATTCCACTATCGCCATAAAAAAAATATTAAATAAAATAAAAAAATAAAGAAATGCATATCCCTTTGTACAGTCTCTTCCCGAGTGGCAACCTCCCGCTCTCTCTCGTGAAGCCAACAAGGAAGTGACTAAAACTGTAATTCATGGACTGGCCGCAAAAGAGAGTCAATCCCATAGCATAGACTCTCCATGTTAAAATGCCCAACTTTACAGCAGAAAAAAACATGTTTACAGCCTGGTTCAAAAAGTGCTTTTGGTCTATATAGCTAATTTTGCCCTTCATGACAACTGTGAGGGGGGTGAATTTTTTTTTATAACTCATCCGTTTAAATTATATTAAGCCTTAAAGTTCTGCACTTGAGTGACAGGTGGATTGTCACCACCGTCGAGCTAGGTGGGCGTGGCTTCAGCAACCTGCTCCCGCCTCTTTGCCCATTTTCGATTATCCGGGAGTGACGCGCGGTGACGCGCTGCCAAGATGGCGACGGCTGGCTCCGCCCACTTTGAGCTTCAACGTTCAAAACGCTCGTCGGAAGTCTACGGGTGACGTCACGGACACTACGTCCATGTTTTTTATACAGTCTGTGGTCGGTCTGCCAAGATGGCGGAACGAGTGGTTGTGCTTTTCTGTTGAGGAACTTAGAAGTTTTGTCACACACAGTCAGCAATGTTTGTATAATACAGATGCATACGATTTTGTTACCGGATGTATATAGTCAGCTTTTAAGTTGAATTTTACGCGTTTTGTTGCTTTATTTGTTATATTGAGAACTTTATCTCGGAACCTGTCAGACTTTAATATGGAGAAAAACTCTCGACGTACTGCGGAAGAAATGGAGGTAGTTACCATCAAAGATAAGAGAGTGATTCAAGACACACACTCCTACTCCTGCAAGGCTACCGATATAAAGTTGGTTTGACGTTGGATATTAGACAGATATTCAGCCGCGAAAAACTTCAGTAAATTCTTAGTGGATGAGTATAATTCTGAACACATATCGCAGTTTATTTGTTTTAATCGTCTTCTATATGTTGAAACGCATAAAGTCTCTAGCAGCGCCGAGCTAGCGCTTAGGCCAGCTAGGGACCGTCTACAAAGTACATGGAAAGGATAAAACGAATGTTTTCCCACCGGAATGTTTTTTACAATTAACAAAACGAGCAAATAGTGCACCAAGCTCTTTGAAAGATATAAAGACAAACACTTATAACGCTCACTTGAGTTTAAATAAGAAATATTGTAAACAAGGTATGTGATAGTGGTTATTATTATATTATTACTATTAATAAATATATTAATAAAATAAAAATAATATAAAAAAATCATAGGGTCGTAGGCTTATTCCAGATCCTTGTGAGAACATTTTAATGCTTGTTGTTTTCACAGAAGTATGACACCGAAAAACACACTATTGACATTTAAATCAATAAATAAATAAAAACACAGTTTTATTACACAACTTCAATGGGTTACAGATTAGACAAACATTTTGATGGGGGTTTAAGCCACAGAACTATAATAGAACACATACTATTAAAAGTTAAACCAATACATAATTTAGTTTAAACTAAATACAATCTTCTACCTCAGTTTCAAAGGCTGGGTCTTGTTACAGACTTCTTAAAGAACATTTTGCAGTTGATTTCATTGTCAAAAGAGATGCAGAAGTCATGTTATTGACACTCAAAATTCACTAGCGAAACCTTCCAAAGAGTCTCCAGTATTACTGACCCCTAGAGGCAGATACTGCAGTAGTTTTGACTGAGTTTTAAATTCAAACCTTTAAAATTCATTTAAAATCAATACAGTCTTCTATTTCAACTTCAAAAGGTGTGTCTTGTTACTGGTTTCTAGAAGAATGTTTTAATGTTGGTTTTAGTCACAGAAATATGAGAGAAAACATTCAATTGAAACTGAATAGCCAATTAAACTGTTTATTAAGCTGATCAATCAATACATCAATTAGTTAAAAATTCAATTTTCAAGCTCATTTTTGTGTGTATGTTTGTTTTAAAAAATGTTTTGTAAGAGGGATCATACAAAATGCATGTAATTTGTTTTAGTACTGTCCTGAGTAAGATATTTTGCATCAAAGATGTTTATATATAGTCCACAAGACAAAATAATAGCTAAATTATGCCAGAAGCTTCAGAAGAAACCCAGATGTTTCCCAGAAGACAAAATTAGTACAATTTACCCAGAGTCTGTGAGACCTGGAGAGTTTTTCTGAAGAATAATGGACAGTAGAACTGCTCAGGACAAATAAGGGACTGAATTACATATTAGAGTAAAACCTTAATTGAAATGTTAAATTTGCAATCAGAAACAAGACACACCCTTTGAAGTTGAAATAGAAGACTGTATTGATAAAATTCAATTTTCAAGCTCATTTTTGTGTGTATGTTTGTTTTAAAAAATGTTTTGTTTAGAGGGATCATACAAAATGCATGTAATTTGTTTTAGTACTGTCCTGAGTAAGATATTTTGCATCAGATGTTTATATATAGTCCACAAGACAAAATAATAGCTAAATTATGCCAGAAGCTTCAGAAGAAACCCAGATGTTTCCCAGAAGACAAAATTAGTACAATTTACCCAGAGTCTGTGAGACCTGGCAACGTGATCTCATGATAATTCGTATGTATTTTACGTAAAATGTGCTTCTATAAAAAGTACATTTACGTATGTTTTTACAGGCACTAAAACGTACAATACTGACGTATTTTCAGCCTCTAAACGTACAAATACTGACGTATTGACACCATATTGAAATCGCGGCATTAATTTGATTAGTTTTTAGTTGTCATATGAATTAACTTGTTTTCAATTGCATTATTAAATTGTTTACTTATGAAATTATAACATTTCATTTAGTTGTGATTTCCGGGTGCAACGCATCGTCATTTGGATTACTTTTAGTACTGCTTTTGACATTGACAACGTTAATTGCATTTATCTGTCTGTCATGTTTTTCTTATACTGTGCAGAAATGTTTAGGCTTATAGGTAGGAGTGGAATTAGCGACTATAAATATATTTTAATGCTATATAGTTACTAAAAGTTTTTCCTGCGTATTTCGGTCATTTGCGTTTTATATCCTTTATATATATCGCTATAAAATGGGTAGGTTTAGGTTTGGGGGTAGGTTAAGGGGTCTAAAAATCTAAATTGCATATTAATAAAATGATAAAAATGCATATTCGCTGTAAAATGGGTAGGTTTAGGTTTGGGGGTAGGTTAAGGGGTCTAAAAATCTAAATCGCTTATTGATAAAAT